TGTTAAGTACCTGACAGCCAAGATGAGAACTGTCATTTAGTCATTAACACCTTAAAACAGTCCAAATTGGCACCAATCTGGAGGAGATCGTTTGTTGTCTCGAATTGGACTAATGTTTTATTTCTTTTACAGATGTCCTGTAATGCAATATGTTGTGATGATCATCAGGACACTAAGATTGTCCTATAATGTTTAATCAAGTCTTTTGTCTTCCAGGCGGGCTAATTTGCCACCCATTTGTTTAGGTATATACAACAACATATAGTGTCATGTGTCTATAGTTTTTTAGATAGACAGCCTCTCATTTTAGAAGGTTTTTGTCTACAGAGTGTTGATTTGTCGCCTTTGGTGTTGCGGGAGGTAACCTCATATATACAGCTGTGATAATTACATGTCATATTGTTATCTGCCTCTACATCTTAATGTTTTTTCCTGTCGTGTTAGATTATAAGTTATTTCCCAACTGCATCAGATAATAGACTTTAATTTTCCCTTATTATCAGATAATAGAGTTTTCCTTCCTTTGTCAGATAATAGAGTTTTTTTTCCTTTTGTGCCAGATTTTTGTATGGAGCTTTTTCTCTACTCTGTCAGATTTCAGAGGTTTTTTGTCTTCCTTTGACAGATTATCAAGGTTTTTACTACCTATGTCAGATTATAGAAGTTTTTTCCTCAACATGTGAGGTTATGGAAGAATTTTCTCTCAATGTCAGATTATAGAGTTTTTTTCTCAATGTTATGTAGTAAAGGTTTTCACATTGATTTCAGATTATGGAAGTTTTCTCTTGATTATCAAGATTTTTCCATTAATGGCAGATTATCAATGTATTTTCCCTCAATCCCAGATTATAGAGGTTTTTTCTCCACCTATATAGATCCTTTTAGAAGCACATACAGATGGTTTAGGAAGGATGTCTTGCTTAAGTAAGAAACCAAGTAACCATTGTGAAAACATACATGGTGGAGTAGAGGACCCCAAACCTTTAAATTTCTAATTGGGGAATCAAACCTAAGTTGACTAGATTAAAGGGAAGCACTGTGTTTTGGGAATCCTGAAGTGTATCAGTGTTTCTATTGAAAGGATTCACCATGTTGATCTGATGACAAACTGCTGTACAACTTCTCTTTGCTTTAAAGTCTTTTTACTTGAAAAGGTTAAAAACTTATATTTGGAGGAGTGACATGAATGGAGAAGGAATGGGAATAGATTAAATTAGAAAATGTGGAGTCTTGGTTCTAGAGGTGGTTGAAGAGAACATGTTTAGTCTCTGTCATGGAGGAGGTTTTGACGAGAATATGTGTCTCAGTCATAGAGAATGTCTTGAAGAGATATGTAGAGTCGCAGCCAAAGAGGATGTGTCAAAGAGAATGTATGGAATCTCAGTCGTAGAGGAGGTCTTGAAGAGAATATATGATGCTTCACTCATAGAAGAGGTATTGAAATGTTATATGAAACCTGTTTAGATATGGTCGTAATCTGTGGTAATACACAATAACACAATGAAACTTGTATAGATACTCCCATAATCTAAAGAAATAACCGAATAACATTACAAAAACAGAAACAAGGACACGCAGAAGACATCTAATCTTGTTCCCAACACGTCTGAAATGTTTGTAACAGATGTTACGTAGATGTACAGCATTAATCAGCTAATGTAGCTAGTCCACTTAGACAAGGATCAACTTATCATGTCGTGCTCCCCAGTCTGATGATACCTAACAGACATTCGTATCAGAACAGTAATCTGTCATGCATAAGTCACGTTAAACTTGGACAGCATTGAGTGGGAGAGTGTTAGTAAATATGTGATGTTACCTACACAATTAGGCTGCAAGTACACCAGGTATATCTACTGTGAACGTCAAAGACCAAGGTCAAACATAAGTATAATATATAGGTATATATATCTTGTATTGTACATCTTCTACTGCAGAGGTCAGAGATGAAGGTGAGACATGTAGTTAAGCATACAGAGAAATGACAATTGTTTTGTTGTCTTACCTCAGTGTATAAAAATGATCATAGTGTGTTACATGATGATAAAATACAATCTTTATCTAAAAATTAATTCTCACAGAAAGTGTACCTCTTTTTAAAGACAAATGTTTTGATATTTCTTTTTCGTGTGTGTGCAATAAAACCATATGGCTTGATTGGAGATGTAAAAATTCCATAGAGAAGTACAGATCTTGTACTTTTCCATGCTTTTGTTCCTTTGGCATGTTTAAACATATTTCTTGCACACCATGGAGAGCCGAGAAATGCATTGTAAGTGTCTGAAATTAAGAGGTGTAATTCAATTTAGACCTATTAGCAGAACAATGGAGGAATTTGGCCGTTTACATTGGTGTGACAGAACTGTCTTGACTCCACCTGACATATAAGTCTTTGAATGCCACTGCCTATCACTGTTTCACACTTTCTCTGACTCTTTCGCATTTCTCTTGCTAAATGTACCTGTATTACACAAGTGCTTCTACCAGCTACTTTGTTTTTGTGGAATTTGGCAGGTGTATAGTGTTCCTCATGTTCGTTTGTCCTGCCCCATCAGTTCTGTCGCAGCCTACCTTGTGATCCTGCTCAGAATCAATGTTATCTTGAGAGCATTTGAACAGATTAGTTTCTTTTTTACTCCATTGTATTGTAACTTCGAATTCTACTCCTAATCAGATTCTGGTTTGTCCTAGAAGTACATGTCTTAGGGAAATTGTCTAGCTCTGTGTAACATTTGATATCTCTGTGTGTTTATTTTCTTGGTTGGAGTACAGGTAGTACTGCATGATCATGTCTTCCTGCTATAGATCAAGAATTTCTAATTTAGTCAGTAGAACACCAGGCTAGTACTGTTTGTCCTACTGATATGGTGAGAGAGAATTTCTTTTTGGCAGTAGAACACCAGGCTAGTACTGTTTGTCCTACTGATATGGTGAGAGAGAATTTCTTTTTGGCAGTAGAACACCAGGCTAGTACTGTTTGTCCTACTGATATGGTGAGAGAGAATTTCTTTTTGGCAGTAGAACACCACGCTAGTACTGTTTGTCCTACTGATATGGTGAGAGAGAATTTCTTTTTGGCAGTAGAACATCAGGCTAGTACTGTTTGTCCTACTGATATGGTGAGAGAGAATTTCTTTTCGGCTGTAGAACATCAGGCTAGTACTGTTTGTCCTACTGATACGGTGAGAGAGAATTTCTTTTTGGCAGTAGAACATCAGGCTGGTACTGTGTTTTTCCTGATATTATGGGAGAGAATTTCTGTTTAGGAAGTAGAATGTGAGGCATGTATTTTTTGTCTTTCCGATATGGTGAGACAGAATTTCTTTTTAGGAAGTAGGATGAGAGGCTGGTGGGAGGGGGGAGGTATTGTTTGTCCTACTGGTACATTATGGTGTATGTTTTTTTGTTCACTGCACCAGAAAGTTTTTATATCAACAATACTTATTGTTAATGGTTGACTTGTTGGTGACGATTGGCAATGTTGACAACAGTACTTGGTTGTTTATATTATTTGCTATGGTAACAATGTTTTATACCTCCCTAGTATGTTGGTACTGATATGTTTTGTGGTACTGACATGTGGTTTGGGCCAATCGTGGTTACACAACTCCACACCGGGAGGCAGGCTCTATGATCCCCTGCCAAATCCTGGTAGACTGTGTTGCCATATTATTGGGGGCTTAACTGTCCTAGTCTGTAGACGCTACAGACAGTACCTAGAGATCTATACATATGTTTGTCATAAGCGTAATACCTTCCATTTATACACTGAACATAAATAATCTCTATAAGATGAAATAAAGAATTGTTAGAAGAGAATGTGACACTGAATGGAATGTCTTTCCCCATACAACAGTGATCTTGTTTACTGGTGCAAGCTAAATTCATTAATATATGAAATCCCTCATCATATCAAATGTCCCCCCTTGGAATCTGACCCAGCGTTGTAGCAATTTCTCTCCCTGTCTCAAAGTTTCCTTTGGGATAGAACCAGTAACTCCTCTCTTGAAAAATCATGTTTCTTAAGCTTTCCTGAAGGTTTTACCCAATGCTTGTCAGACCAAGGCTAGGAATTTTATCTATTTCAGGGCCCAACATCCAACACCAATAAAAATGAACCATAAATTTACTGATGATCAAATCCAAACCATGGCATACTGTAAAATTTATGATGTACACAGGACCAAAGATTTTTTTTCCTGGTCACATCTATAGGAAGCAGCTATTAAATTACTTTGGTGGTACAATGAAATGCTACCTCATATCATATTGATATGATTTATTAATTATCTGACAAATTAATTTATCCCCTTATAGTTACAGGTACATGTCTCTCTAAGCTTTGTAATGCCCATCATCATTATACATGAATAATGATAGTCCTTCTTACACACATAGCGATATGATGTTATAAATGAAGGACTCCTGTGCAATGTCATCGTATCAAACACAGGGCTTGGATTTTGTGCATTTTAAAATGCCTCCGCGAAACAAAGTCTGTTTGAAATATGATCCGTATCTTTGTCAAACTTTTCAGGTCTTCTCTGACAAAATCTCGGTAGAATAAACCTGGAATTTTGTATGTAGCAAATGACAACATATATATACACACTATTGCCGTGGTATCAAAATGACTGAAACTTAATTACGGTGTTCAATAATTGTGGTTGTTAGATTGGTAATTTGAAGGTTTTCATCATTTTTGTGTCTATATACTTTGACATGGATAAAAATGAAACCATTTTTTAATGAATAATATAAGAAAGGATGGACTTTCCATTTTGTTTCAGTTACACAGGTATAACTACAATTGAAGTTGGCAAATCTTACACTCGTCAGTTATTCCATTTAACATAGTTTAATTGTAGTTATTGTTTTATATCCTAAACAGAAAGTTCATCCTTAATTCTGTGTTGTTAATATGTGATATATCAGTCAAGGATACATTCACAGTTATCCCCCTTGTAATTATGTGGTTATCAAACCCTTATATCTTCCAGGCTCATGGAGTGAGTGTTACAGGCTGGGATGTGGCCCAGGAGGGGAGACAACTCGGCCAGTCTACTGTAAGCTGATTAGCTCCAATGGAGTCATCACCACTACTCATGAGTCAAACTGCGGCCACATTCCTAAGCCACCAGAGCGGCAGGAATGTTTCAAGGTGTGCCGCGAGCACCGCTATGAGGTCCGATGGGCATGGACCCCATGGGAACAGTGCAAATTGGAGCCCGGGGTCAAAGTCTGCGCAAAAGGTCGAGGCATCTCATACCGCAATGTGTCTTGTGTCTGGAAAGAGAATGGAAAAGTTGAAAAGGATTCAGTGTGTTTATCATTCGAGGAAAAACCTGCAACAAAAAAACGGTGTGAACTGCGTTGTCAGCAGGACTGTGTTGTGACGGAGTTCACTCCTTGGACCAGCTGTGATCAATGTAGAGTTTTAAATAAAACACGGACACGGACTATTCTGGTGCCAGATTTTAATGGCGGCCAAATATGTCCACGTTTCTCTGACTTTAAGCCTTGTCAGAACTGTTCTGAGATGTTTTTCCTTTCGGTGGATGCCTGGACACATTGTGTACCATTCTCGTCTACCAGCTCAGATCAGAACCCCAACTATCCTGTGATAGGTCACCAAACACGCAAAATTAAATGTGTGAACACATTCGGAGCTCTTGTCAACTGGAGGTAAGATCCATCTTCTAATTCTGATAAATACTCCCACAAATTTTACAAGTTCCTAACTGCCAACACTAGGCTGAAGTTGGACCATTCTCTGATCTATATACAGATGGTTTAGATGAAACATTAGTGATAACATGGATAGATATTGGCTAACTGAATACTGTATTAAGTATATACAACTCACATTAATTATGAACACACTTGATTAACATTTATGCATTTTGAATGAATAAAAACCTCTTTTATTTGTCAACGATTTACAAAGTAACAGGGTAGAGTCATCTTTGTTAGTTATCAAATTAAACCTACTAGATATTTCCAGTAATGAAGTTTATTTTTCATTATTATCATTACCATTTCTTACATCACCTCTGTTTAAAATTTATGGGGTCAGGATCAGAAGTATCACAAAGAGGTTTTGTTGAGATGGATATGATTTTGATACTGCAATAGACAATGTTGTACTCTTACAGATATTGTCGTGACCGCTTGAGTCTCCAGGAGCCCATTGTAGATCATCAAGCTTGCATCATTCCTAAGAATTGTATTGTCTCTGAGTGGTCGTCATGGGACCGCATCAACAGCAGCTGTATTGACAGTACGGGTATGAAGAGGGTGGGTCTTATCAAGCGCTCTCGTCGTGTCATCCAACTTCCTGTAGGAACAGGAATAGCTTGTCCAGACCTTGAAGAAGTTACACAAGTACAAGGAACAGCCCAACGCAAATGTCCAAAGTAAGGAATGAAGGAATGTCACGTGACTAAAGCAGATGTCTTCTGATCCATTACAGTGCAGGGTTTTTACATCCCCAACATTTTAAAGGGGTATGGAGGTGGTGAGGGGGATATACTGTTACCCATTGTCCCTCTCATTGGTTAGTGTCCCGTTCTGAATTAATGTCATATCTTGAATCCGGACAGATTGGGCTCATATTTACCTCAGTGGTGTCCTAACATCAATTTCTACACCTTATCATATTAAGGTGGTCAGCAGTCAAATGGTCCAAGGTCACATCTGATTACTTCTACAAATTTTTCAAACAATGGTACTTTTATTCTCTAGAGCAGGAGTATTATGTCTTGATTGATATTTCTGATTCTAGAATGAAGTGGATTGTATCAGGCTGGTCAGGTTGTCAGCCTGTAAATGGGTTGAAGCAGTGTAGTACAGGATTACAACACCGGAAGGCCATCTGTGTGGAGGAAAATCGTAAGTCAACATTTCCCAGCATTAATATAAGCTTCTCTCAAGGAGGCCAGATTATTATGTCTATAATGACTGGATCTCATCAGTGTTATTTTTCATTATTAACTGCAAACATTAATAATCAAAACTCCAAACATCAGTGATAATTGATCACCAACTTACTTGCTGGTTTATATCACCAACTCCAAACTTAAATGATGGTTAATATCACTGACTCCAAACTTACATAATGGTTTATATCACCAACTCCAAACTTAAATGATGCTTTATATCACCAACACCAAACTTAAATGATGGTTTATATCACCAACTCAAAACTTAAATGATGGTTTATATCACCAACTCCAAACTTGAATGATGGTTTATATCACCAACTCCAAACTTAAATGATGGTTTATATCACCAACTCCAAACTTGAATGATGGTTTATATCACCAACTCCAAACTTGAATGTTGCTTTATATTACCAACACCAAACTTAAATGATGCTTTATATCACCAACTCCAAATATAAACAATGGTTTATATCACCGACTCAAGACATCAGTGATGGTTTATATCACCAACTCCAAACTTAAATGATGGTTTTTATCACCAAATCCAAACTTAAATGATGCTTTATATCACCAACTCGAAACTTCAATGATGCTTTATATCACCAACTCAAGACATAAATGATGGTATATCATCAGCTCCAGACATAAGTGATGGTTTATATCACCAACTCCAAATGTAAACAATGGTTTATATCACCAACTCAAGACATAATTGATAGTTTATATCATCAACTCCAAACATCAATAATGGTTTATGTCACCAACTCCAAACAATAATGGTTAATATCTTGCCATTGTAGATGATGGTCAACAGAAACCAGTAGATGACAGCAAGTGTTTAGATGACCGACCCCTGACCTCCCAGACATGTCGAGCAGACTGTCATTGGGATTGTACAGTGTCTTTATGGTCTATGTGGTCAGACTGTAAAGTGACCGACTGTGAACAATATGCTCGGAAAAGGCGTGCTAACCTCAACACAGGTAAAGTCTGATCAAAACGAATATAGTACCGTGTGTATATAGACTAATATTTTTAATCCTGGATAAGGAAATAATTTACTTTGTCAATATATCAGTACACAGTTTACCATAGAGCGGTTCATATAGAAAAGTGTTCTAGATACAAAAACACACTGTCATAGTTTACACTGGATTTATGGTACCCATTTAGATTTTAGTAGACTTGACCAAATCAAAGTGCAGGGGAGCCATATATATATGTCTCATTGTTTTTTGGTCAAAATTTTCATATTCGTGTGATCAAATTCTTCTTCATGTCTTCATATGTGTCATTAAACAAAAACTTAATTTTGTTGAATTTTGACTGAATACTTGAGAAATTTTGTTATCCATTAAGTTACTTCTGATATGAGTTAACAAGTGTCTGGTTTCCAGGACAACGGTACAGAACACGTGAGACTCTGACCCTCCCTGGGTCTGGGGGCCAGCCCTGTCCTCACCTGAGTGAAACACAGAACTGTGATCCGGAGCCCTGCTACAACTGGAAGGTGGTCACCCGACCCTGTATCCTCCGCAACACCAATATGGGTGAAGCGTGTGGCGTAGGCATCGCTCACCGCACTCTTGCCTGCCTCAACAAGTATAAGGTGAGAAGCTAGGCAGTAGTGGAAAAGACTTCATTTAACTGCATCATCAACAAATAAGTGTTTTGTTTCAGATCAAATGCTCAAGCTTATCCTTCCAACCTTTCAGATCGGTCACAAGCTTAGTTTGAATATGTGAATGATAGTTTATTTGTGAAGTCACACAAAATTTTTGCTGGAAATGCATAAGTTGGAAAGAATGGATGATCGTTTTGTGATCCTGAGAATAAAAATGTTAATTTATATTTTCTTTACATATTTTATGTCAATTATAATTTGATTCAAACTAAAATAAATTCCACGTTGTAAGTGTAATCTGTAAAATGGACCAGTCATTTTACTGGTGAATCAAGGTTGTTCCACATCACAACAGTCACACAGTGTAGATCATTTATACTTCTAATGACACTTTTTTCTAGTTCATTGATATAGTGATATGCCATGTAGATATCAATACCTGTTGTCTCTGGCCATGTACTATCTATATTGGTTCTGAGGTATTTCTAACTCAGCTGATCTAAGTTACCATTGTGTCCACTAACTTTTCCTTCAGATCCGTGTATCTGACAGCCTGTGTCTAGAATTCCGCGAGCGTCCAGAAACTCAAGTCCAGTGCGAGATACCTTGTCCTAATGACTGCGTGGTGTCTAATTGGGGGCCATGGTCGGAGTGTCCAGACCGATGTCAGACGGGCAATCTCAGAGAACGGGCCATCAAACGACGAAAACGCACGATACTAGCACGTCCATTTTCAGGTAAGTGTAAGACATTTTGTTATACATAGTGCGCTGAAGAGAGATGTGATCTGATGCATACACCATAGGAATAACAAAGAGAAGTTTAAATGTATGCAAAGAGAGATAACTCTTGTAAATCAAGACATGTACTTTGTTGTCAGATTTCATAGCTTTCTTCTCTATTTGATTCTCAGGAAACGTATTTTGACAAAAGTATTCAGTTATTTTTGCCTCTTTGTATTATTTTTCAATGGAATCAGCAACTATATTACTGCTGAATAATTCACTAGATGCAACAATAGCAAATTAATACTTGTATCCTGTATTTTTGTCATTTTATCATTCCTCTGAGATGAAAGCATGTGACCATGTATATATATGAAGCTATCATACAGCAGACTCATATCCCAAGTCATTTCTGTATTATATTTAAGTATATATATCTGATTTCAGGAGGGGGTGAATGCCCTAACCCACGTGAGTTAGAGGAGACAGCCGACTGTTCCACCATCATTGAGTGTGCCTTGTTCATGTGGCAAGCTGACAACTGGGGTGTTTGTCAGCTGGAGGATTTGACACGCCCTTGTGGGCGGGGCACACAAACTCGTGGAGTAAAGTGTTACGATTCTCAGGGAAAACTGGAATCAGATGAAAAGTGAGAGATTGCAATATATCTATTTCTAGTAAATTAATTACAGTTTTATTTATTACAAGTACACTCAAAACTTGTTATCTCAAAATTCAAGGGACATTGGAAAATATTTTGAATCATCCAAATTTTGACTCAAATGAAGCGTATAGATAAGGTTGACGGTATCGGTATATTAATTACAGGTATATTAATTATATGGATATTCATTACAAGCACCAATCTGCTGTACTTGGTGGGAATCACTCTAAATGTATGTTCTGATAAACAGTTCTGACAACATGAATTGATGTTTTCGTGTCTTTAGGTGTACGGAGAAAGTTAGACCTGTTGCCATCAAAGTGTGCACAGTACCATGTCCTCAGGACTGCATTGTCACCGAATATTCTGACTGGTCCGAGTGTTCTGCTACCTGCTGGGAAGGTTAGTTATAACAGAAAGGATACAAAACATCACAATTCATAATCATATCACATCCATTTTGTAAAGTCTTGTAACCTTTAATCTGGCTACCGTTGTCAACGCTTAGTGAACCTTCTCATTATCATTGTGATTTTTCTGATTTGCAATTTAAGATTTGTCACTGCAGCTGTTTTTGTGTAACAAATAGGAAATTATATAACACTACAATGGATAGAAATTTAAATAATATCATAATGACAAATATGATATAACAGTAGGTCAGTGTTAGTTTAACTAAAATTACTAAATGCAATCATTCTTCATGACAGCTGGAGAAAACGTCCCAACAAGGACACGGAAGCGCTTCATCCTACAGAACCCAGACAACAATGGTTCACCTTGTCCAGAGATGTTGGAGGAGACACAACGATGCCTCAATCTTCCATTGTGTAATCAGTTCAGCTGGGTAAAAACCAACTGGAGCTCCTGTGTTCTTCCTCCTGTTGTCAGAGCCTGTGGCAAGGGAATCCGCACCAGGAGTAAGTTAATGTCAGGGGCTGTGGTAAGGGAATCTGTACCAGGAGGTAGTTAATGTCAGGGGTTCTGGTAAGGGAATCTGTACCAGGAGTAAGTTAATGTCAGGGGCTGTGGTAAGGGAATCTGTACCAGGAGTAAGTTAATGTCAGGGGCTGTGGTAAGGGAATCTGTACCAGGAGTAAGTTAATGTCAGGGGCTGTGGTAAGGGAATCTGTACCAGGAGTAAGTTAATGTCAGAGGCTGTGGTAAGGGAATCTGTACCAGTAGGAAGTTAATGTCAGGGGCTGTGGTAAGAGAATCTGTACCAGGAGTAAGTTAATGTCGGGGGCTGTGGCAAGGGAATGTGTACCATGAGTAAGTTAATGTCAGGGGTAGTGGTTAATATCAGAGTAAGTGGTAGGGGAATTTGTATTTGACAGACTGTGTTTAGAATTCCATGAGCATGGAGAAACTTAAGTATAGTGTGACATACCTTGTTCTAATGCTTTCAGGTCTAAACTTGACAAATTTGAGAAAAAAGAATAAAAAAGTGACATTTACCTTTAAACTTTTTGAGTGTGAAAAGGTAAAATTTGTTGTCGAAATTGGTTAAAATTGATTAAATGCTGCCCACTTTAAATGCCAATGGAGCATTATTGTTTTTTTCTGAACATTGATTGCATTTTTGATGAACATTGAATGCCAGGTGATTGATGCAGGCCTATTGGGCATTTTGTTTTGGAAAAAAAAAATCTTAATAGAAACTTCAGATCACCTTTTTTTATGAGGGGACAGTATTGTTAAGTATGAAGTTCAGATTAAGTTGTTTCCCCACTGTTCTAATCACTGTGTATATTGTCATGTTTAGATGTGACCTGTAGGAGTGAGAACAGTACAAAACAAGCTATTGATGTGTGTCTGAGATATGCTGGAGCCATGCCCCCCATGTACAGTACATGTTATGTGTCATGTGAGGAGGATTGCCTTTTCTCTGACTGGGCAGATTGGAGTGTTTGTGTTCAAGGATGTAATGGGAAACAGTTCCGAGATCGTCAGCCAATCAAAGGTAAGCAGGGAAACAGCTCAAAGATTTTTAACCAATCAAACGTAAGCAGGATAACAGTTCCAAGATTATTAACCAATCAAAAATAAGCAGGATAACAGTTCAAAGATTATTAACCAATCAAAGATAAGCAGGGAAACAGTTTCAAGATTGTCAATCAATTAAAGATGAAGTGTAAGCAAGACCGTCCACAAATTTGAGCTTGATGTGCAAATATTTCAGTCCTAGGCAGATGTAAGTTAAGAATTGTATTACCTATATAACCATTGTATACCTATATAACTGACAAAACTGTAAAAAGTTTGTATAAGTGACTGATTGCGACTATATATATGTATGAAGATGACTTTTAGATAAATATTATTTTGATGGACAGGTTCGAAGTCAATGCCATCAAGATGTTCGGACATACGTCGTTACCCACTGTATGAACACCGACCTTGTTATTGTAAAACACTGGAGCGTATCATCATCGGTGAATGGTCCCAGTGTATACTTGACCCGCCCAACAGACATGATCTAATGATGACCCACCTCTCGGGGCACCGAGGTATTCGATTGGCTAGAAATATCACTAATCCTGAAACTGGAAACAGCTGTGGGCCAGGCCATAAATATAAAGTGGTTGCCTGTCGTAATGCGATGAATGCTATGGAATCAGCTGAAAAGTGTGCAACGGATGGCAAAGGTATTTTTTCATTATTTATTGTAATAAAGATACTGTCAGATCAGATCCAAAGATCAAAATAAAGGATAAAGATTTACATCAGACTTCAGGATAAATGTTTTACATCCGATCTCAGGACAAAGATTTTACACCATATCTCAGGACAAAGATTTTATATCAGATCCCAGGACAAAGATATTGTTGCATGTATTAGATCCTAGTGAAAGTTTTTAAAACAAATTTACTGTTCAGTATTTACTGTGGTAGAGTATTTTCGATTAGTTATTAATAATTTGACTTAATTTACTAGACGCTGCACAACTGATTTACTTTAAAAGTACTCCTCAACCTTCATTTCTTAATGAATTATAGAGTCTTACCCAATACTCAATATAAAAAATGAAAAAAAAAAAAAAAACTCAAAATCTAGAATTTTAAAGTTGGATTTCCACATTTTTTCTGTTTCTGATGTTATACAGACACCAAGCAGAAGGCGTGTAGGATACCATGTCCTGTGGACTGTAAGATGTCTGAATGGAGCAAATGGAGTGATTGTCCCACTAAGTGTGGTGCTGGCGTCATACAACGCTTCCGTAACAATATGAAGCTTCCATCGCCTGGAGGACGTCGATGTCCTTCCTTAGACAGCACGTCAGATGAGGTGAGGTTCTGAACTAGTTGAATCATCTGAATATTGTCTGCTCCAGTTTTGTAATAGTACAAAATATTGTCTGTACAGTAATTACTTTTGTATAGCAAGTATTAACACTGGGTACATTTTGCATTGTAGGAAATCCAGACTCGTCTGTGCCATCCTGAGTGTGTCCAGTACACATGGAAAGCCTCTGACTGGGATATGTGTATGCCTCCAGTTGGAGAGAGGTGTGGAGACGGACAGCAAAACAGACATGTCAGGTATATTAATTAAGCACAACATCCTCAATCCTACCCACTATACAACATTCTCTCACCTAATTCTACAGTACCCACTATACAACATCCTCTCTCCTAATTCTACAGTACCCACTATACAATGTCCTCACTCCTAATTCTACAGTACCCACTATACAACATCCTCTCTCCTAATTCTACAATGTCCTCACTCCTAATTCTACAGTATCCACTATACAACATCCTCTCTCCTAATTCTACAACACCCATTATATAATGTCCTTACTTCCTAATTCTACAGTATCCACAATACATTGTTCTCACTCCTAATTCTACAATACCCACTATACATTGTCCTCACTCCAAATACTACTTTATCAAGTCATACTATATTCCCTATGTTTTCTTGTATAAAATCATTGGAATTTTCTTATAGCCACAGAAGTTCTCTTATCCTCTAACAATTTTCTGTGTTTCAAACATTCAGTTACTGTTGAAAAAGCTTAAGATAACTAGAATGTTTTATCAGTAACCTCTGGTAATTTCAATAAGATTTCAGAGTAGTCAAACATTGTGGTTCTAATGCTATTGAAAACTGTCAAAACTTCACAAAGTTCACTTTTTGCTTTCTTCACCTTTCAGCTGTAATGCTGTTAATATCAACGGAGTGATGACGGAGCGTGTTGACGATATAAATTGTGCTGGCCTTCCAGAACCTCGCAGTACTCGTTCTTGTTACCTCCCCTGTCCTGGAGATTGCGTACTAAGTGAATGGGAAGAATGGTCAACATGCCAACAGGTATTCAACCAACATATCTTATGTTTACTGTCCTCACTAAAGTGTTTGTTTTTTCATCTAAGGGGCCGAATAGATACCATTCAGTTGTTCTGCTAGCCAGTTAGGATGTATTCTGGTTCGATCACCTCAGAGTTCAGGGCAATTAAGTCATTCCACACGCCACTTCGGATGTAGTCTGCTTTGACAGTGTTTGGTCTACTCATACACTTTTCCTATTGGAAAGTGCTGAAAGTATTGCTGATACTGTTAAACTCTTCAACAGTGGAAGAAAATTTGTCACCATATGTGTTTATTTTCTAACATATAGAAGTAATTATGTGAAAAAACTAAAATATTTACAGAATTCTTGATCAGTGATTTGAAATATAAGACTCTGCTGCTCGATATAGAACCCCATGTACACAACCTTACAATGATATACAGGATGTGATACTCCCATCAGATATGACATTTCCCCAACCAGCCGTAGCCACTATAAAGTTACTTGATCCTATTGTGACGGTTTATGTGATCCGGTTCTTCCTCTTCTAGCCATGCAACCACAACCAGATGCAGCAGCGAGAAAGAACTATAATGCGTGAATCGGCATCTTACTCCGAGTACCAGAGCACATGTCCGCCGCTGAGAGAGTCCCGACCCTGTATCAAGGATGAAAACTGTATTGAGTACTCATGGGAGTTGTCCCAGTGGACAACTTGTCTGGTTAACAATGGTTTAGATGACTGTGGGGTCGGACATAAGGAACGCTACGCCATCTGTAAAGACCACATGAGGCGTGTTGTGGATAACAAGCTGTGTAAAAGTGTATGTTTTTTTATTGTTGGTAGTGACGTGGTAATATTTTATTTAGATTTTGTATAGAGAGAGATACAATTCAAGTCAGGAAACTAAGTTTTTGTTTTAAGCAGATTGTTGGAGGGATATTACATATCATTAAGTTTATATAAACTCTGATGTTATTGATTTGAGTCTAAGTTCAATTGTTCTCTGATCTATAGTGTTGATATCATTGGTTCTATTGTATTTAGTAAACAAATCACAAAGTCTGAATTTACGGGAAGATTTCTCTAGAAGATATAGAGAAATCAGTTCTTACTGATATTCTTGTCTAAAATGTTATCATTTCAGTATGTATCCTGTATGTATATATTTCTATTAAAGCTGAAAAATTGAAAAATTTTGAAACTATTTGTTTCAACAGGTGCATGGCCAGGTAACAGAGCCGTTAGTTGTGTCATGTGAGATACCATGTGATGTGGACTGTCTGTTATCTGATTGGTCACCATGGAGTGCATGCAGCAAAAGTTGCGGACTTGGTAAGTTTCAAATTTTGTAAGTGATTGACTTAAGTTATCTAATTGTTAACTTGATCAGGCGTGGACTCGATAGGTCAAGACCACATCACTTTCTATTGTTTGTTACAGAATTGAATATCTACAATTTATATAAAAAATTTCAGGTACCAAAAAGAGAAACCGTTCAATCGTACAACAGTATATCGGTAATGGCCGTCCTTGTCCACCCATCCTCTCTCAGGCAATGCACTGCTTCTCCCGCGGATGCTACAAGTGGCAGATCTCTCCATGGTCTCAGTGTGCAACACAAGTAAGCTTCATCCCTCTAGAACAATACATATCAGTTTTATCTCTCCTATACAACATCAATAAGCTTTATTTCTCTAGTACAACACAAATAAGCTTTATTCCTCCAGTACAATACAGATAATCTATATCCCTACAGTACAACAAAGATAAGCTATATCCCTCCAGTACAAATAAGTACATATCCCTACAGTACAACACAGATAAGCTTTATCCCTCCAGTACAACACAGATAAGCTATATCCCTCCAGTACAACACAGATAAGCTATATCCCTCCAGTACAACACAGATAAGCTGTATCCCTCCAGTACAACACAGATAAGCTGTATCCCTCCAGTACAACACAGATAAGCTGTATCCCTCCAGTACAACACAGATAAGCTGTATCCCTCCAGTACAACACAGATAAGCTGTATCCCTCCAGTACAAATAAGTTATATCCCTCCATTACAACACAGATAAGCTATATCCTTCAAGTACATCATAAAATAATCAAGTATATAAAAAGGACTTATATGATTTCACAGTTGGGAGTATGTGGTCATGGAGTACAGAAGAGGAACATCACATGTCGCAGTGACAAGGGACTGATGGTCGACTCATCTCGCTGTCCTCGTGATCTCACCACCATGGTCTCACCGGTAGGTTCATCTCTCTCCTAGTTGTATCAGCTTTTGATGTTAAATTTCTGTACTACACCACTTTGAAATAACTGCTATATTTTAGACATATTTTGTGGTACATTTTCTTCAGGTTACTAATGTTGATAGAAGAAAAGCTCTTATAACACAGCCAGTAGAACATTTGAGTGTGACGTTTCAATGATTACACGACCAAAATAGAAAGCCTAGTCTATGGAAATAATTTGTTGATTTGTTGAATATAGTCAAGGATCACAGAAAGATCTGACTGAACGTATCAATACAGTAGATACCTCAAACAGCATCAAATTCACCTGTTAGGAAGAAATCAATGATACTATGCCATTCCTTAACATCTTTCTGGTAAAGAAATATGACAGTGCTATCTCTGGTCAAGTTATTGATCTATAGCAAGAAAACACACACAGACCAAAACCTCAACTTCCAATCGCACCACCCCTTACACTAGAAGTTGGACATTGTAGAAACTTTCTTGAGTAGATGTGAAACAATTGTCACAGAAGAACAACAAAATCATATCCATTGTGCCATGAAAACATGTGGATACCCTGTTTGGGCTATTCAGAAAATTAACAACAAATTTGATGAAAGCAAAAAGACTAAGAGACAAAACACCAAGGGAAAGAATATATGTAAAGGACAGGTAGTCCTCCCTTACATCAAAGGATTGTCAGAAACCATTCAGACCTTAAGGACAAAACACTCGAAGAGAATGTTGCAGATTGTTTACCCAAAATCATATCCGAGAACCTGAATGCATTGTATATTGATGAAACGGGCAGATTATTGGGGTCTGACCTAATGAACATCAGAAAAATGCAGAATCTCAAGAAGGCAAAATTTCATCCGATCAAAGCAGAAATATTCTTAGTCCCAGATCAATAAATCAGCACTCTTTTTTTTTTCTGTAAACAGTTTACCCTCTGTTCACACTATTTTTGGCCTTAGTGTACATAGGATTATAGTACAGTCAAAGTTCTGTACCATCTCGTACACTACATACGTTCGTTCTGGTATCCTTCACACTGGTCTGATGAAAGTAATACTATGGTCGCCAGAACATCACATTCAAATCTTCTACTGTTTGTTTTATATCCTTTTGTCCGCTGTTAGACCTCTTGTGAACCTTGTGAACTGCCATTTTTCACGTTATTGGACTTTATTTTTTCATGCTGTTGAATTTTTAATCTATAGGTAGAGCAGCCCTGTCATGTTCCATGCCCAGGAGAATGTGTTGTCACTGAGTGGTCCAACTGGAGTCAATGTTACATCCCTTGTCACGACTTTGAAATGGGTGAGTGTGCCTAATGTAGGAAAATACATTACAAATATCATTTTATTCACATAGCATATGTTTACACAGTTACTCTATTTTCAATATCATTCCCATTAAAAAATCTCAAGTATTTGAAAGTTGCATCAAGGCTGAGACATAATTTTAATGTTAGGTCAAATTATATAAATATTGTATTTTTGGTACCGGTCAGAAAAACAAAATGGCTGACAGACGACCATCTTGGATTTGAAAATGAAAGGTTTCCTTTTGCTATTTCTGGGATTGAAAAGTACTGATAGATCTTTCTCAGATTCCATGAGTAGGCTCCCCAGGTTCTATAGTTGGTACCCTTTTTGAATTTGGAACAAATAATGAACACAAAATGGCAGACAGGTGACATCTTGGATTTAACAGTTACAAATTAGTATTTTTAGTTCTTGAGAAGAATTGATATAATTCCGAATAAAAACCAGAAAGAAGAAAAAAGAAGAGAGAAGATCCAACTTTTCAACTTTTCTTGGCAGGGGACAAGATCCCGCAGGGATTTCTTGTTAATGTTTTACAAATTCATCCTTTTTGGAGACATGTTTAGAGACATATTTCGTAAAATTCTACATACTGACAACATCGTAATCTGCTGTGATTTTGATTTGCCAGGGTACACAGAGGGAGTTCGCAGCAGATCTCGTGCAATACTGGCCCACCCTGGTCCAAAGAAGGAGAAATGCCCAGACCAGTTTTGGATGAGTGAATCCTGTTACGCTGACACTTGTTCTGTGTTCCGTTGGATGAGCACGCCTTGGGAGGGAGAGTATCGTGATGTTTGGTGTGAACGCTCAGATGGACTACGAGTCTATGGTAAGCAGATCACCATTGCTCTGGTACACACAAATCAATATTCATATTTTAATAAAATGTATGCCTTTGTAATGAATTTTAGTTGGGGTAAGAGATGTTGATACTGGAATCAGGTTGTCTGTCTGTCTGTGGATGGGTTCTTGTCTGGATGACTCCCACAGTTTTCAACAAAACTTTGTGAACCTCTTTGGAAGTAGTCATCACTCTCTAAAGTTCAGCATCTTTATTTTTTTGTTTTATCTGCCTGTTTTTATTACATTTATGACCCTTTTGGTTAAGTGTAGGCTGAACTTTGTGGAGAGTATAATTTTTATCACAATTTGATGTTACTACACCCTGAAGATGAGCACCCAGCACTATGTTGTGGATTTTATCTACTTTATTGCAGCTATACCCCTTTTACAATGATTTTACACTGAGTCTTTTCTGGGGAACTCCTCCTGCAATTTGAATTCAGATTATGTGGAAAAAAAGCCTCTTGGTTCAATAATGCATTTTCTTTGTCCATACAACTTCTGTTAGACTTGAAGACTGATTTCAGTTAAACTCTACAGTATTTATAACTAAACCATGACATTCTGTGTTTGGGTATCTTTTTATATATATATAAATTGTGGTCATGGTGACAGAAGCTATACAGTAACTGAGTGTTGAGAATCTTTTGGTCTATAAAAGGCTGAAATACATTTTACCAATTTTCTTAAAATTTCTTTTTAACTGTAATAAGTGTAGGTAAAGATGGGCCTATAATTGAATTTTGTCCCTAGGCAAAGTAATGATGCATCATCTACACATAGATAACAAGAGTAGGTCATCACATGATCGATAATCTTGATCCTCAGATGTAACACTGATTTCTATCTAACAATCTAAAGATCCAATTATATTCTCCCTGTAGATTGATGGTACGGTCACCAAGATTTCCCTGTAATTGTAATTCAAATTAACAGCCAAATACATGATATACAAGCACATATTCAAGAATAATGTCAGAGAACTTCTTTAATCCGTACCCAGGGTGGTTTGATCAGTACCTAGGGTGATTTGATCCCCTACCCAGGGTGGTTTGATCAGTACCTAGGGTGGTTTGATCTGTACCTAGGGTGATTTGATCCCCTACCCAGGGTGATTTGATCTGTACCCAGGGTGGTTTGATCTGTACCTAGGGTGGTTTGATCTGTACCCAGGGTGGTTTGATCTGGACCCAGGGTGGTTTGATCCGTACCCAGGGTGGTTTGATCAGTACCTAGGGTGGTTTGATCTGGACCCAGGGTGGTTTGATCAGTACCTAGGGTGGTTTGATCCCCTACTCAGGGAGGTTTGATCCGTACCCAAGGTGGTTTGATCCCTGCCCAGGGTGGTTTGATCTGGACCCAGGGTGGTTTGATCCGTACCCAGGGTGGTTTGATCAGTACCCAGGGTGGTTTGATCCGTACCCAGGGTGGTTTGATCCGTACCCAGGGTGGTTTGATCAGTACCTAGGGTGGTTTGATCCCCTACTCAGGGTGGTTTGATCCCTGCCCTGGGTGATTTGATCTGGACCCAGGGTGGTTTGATCAGTACCTAGGGTGGTTTGATCCCCTACTCAGGGAGGTTTGATCCGTACCCAAGGTGGTTTGATCCCTGCCCAGGGTGATTTGATCCCTGCCCTGGGTGATTTGATCTGGACCCAGGGTGGTTTGATCTGTACCTAGGGTGGTTTGATCCGTACCCAGGGTGGTTTGATCCCTGCCCTGGGTGATTTGATCTGGACCCAGGGTGGTTTGATCAGTACCTAGGGTGGTTTGATCCGTACCCAGGGTGGTTTGATCCCTGCCCTGGGTGATTTGATCTGGACCCAGGATGGTTTGATCAGTACCTAGGGTGGTTTGATCCATACCCAGGGTGGTTTGATCCGTACCCAGGGTGGCTTGATCCCTGCCCTGGGTGATTTAATCCCTGCCCTGGGTGATTTGATCTGGACCCAGGGTGATTTGATCCATACCCTGGGTTCTTTTATCCCTGCCATGGGTGGTTTGATCCCTGCCCATGGTGGTTTGATCCCTACCCAGGGTGATTTGATCCATACCCTGGGTTCTTTGATCCCTGCCATGGGTGGTTTGATCCCTACCCCGGGTGATTTGATCCCTTCCCTGGGTGGTTTGATCCGTACCCAGGGTGATTTGATCCCTACCCAGGGTGCTTTGATCCCTACCCAGGGTGCTTTGAGTTTGTTATGAAGTTGAGTTCACAGATTGTTCTGTACTGTCATAGCTGTGTCCATGGGAAAGACACTTTGAGATCCAATTGCTCTGGATTTCATGTGGAGAGTCTCTCACATCCTTGAGATAGGTACAGCTACTCCATGAAGACCTCACGTCAAAATGACCCCAGGGAATGACCCCAGCAAACAGACAAAACATGGTCAATCAAAGCCAGAAATATATATACTAATATGTAACCAAGACGTTTGTGTCACACCTAACCACTAGTCTTCAGCATGACTGATTCACATTTACAACCTAATGATATTACAAATTGTATTTTTTTTTTATAAATTGTATTATACCTAATGATTCTGAAGAATGGTAACAATCACCCTCAAGCTGCCGGAGGAAACTCCACTAATATGTACGTTCAACATGTCACTGATTGATCACAAAGCAATATAATTGGTCCTTTCCTAGGAGTGTCATCCATGAGTTCAGGGGGTTCCTGCAGTGTATGTTAAGATGATTTGATCAGCATCCTTGTGTTAGCCTGGCTCTACACTCATACATGACAACCTGCTGCCACAGTCTAGTGTGAAGCTTGGTTCTGTCAGTGTACAGCTGGATAATTGTTTGTGTTGATGATATGTTTTATGGATTATTCTGAATCAGAAAACAACGAGATAAATGTAAGTTTTCTTCATTTATATATAAGTTATTTCTTTAAATGCTAGCAGTATATTCTACATAACATGATATTCGGAGCCCTAGAATTTACATATAATGTTGGGAGCTGTACACTTTACATATGATGTTGGGAACTGTAGATTTTACATTGATGTTGGGAGCTGTAGACTTTACATATAATGTTGGGAGCTGTAGACTTTACATATGATGTTGGGAGCTGTAGACTTTACATATGATGTTGGGAGCTGTAGACTTAACATATAATGTTGGGAGCTGTAGACTTTACATATGATGTTGGAAGCTGTACACTTTACATATAATGTTGGGAGCTGTACACTTTACATATAATGTTGGGAGCTGTACACTTTACATATGATGTTGGGAACTGTAGATTTTACATTGATGTTGGGAGCTGTAGACTTTACATATAATGTTGGGAACTGTAGACTTAACATATAATGTTGGGAGCTGTAGACTTTACATATGATGTTGGGAGCTGTAGACTTTATATATGATGTTAGCTGTAGATTTTACATATGATGTTGGGAGCTGTAGACTTTACATATGATGTTGGGAGCTGTAGACTTAACATATAATGTTGGGAGCTGTAGACTTTACATATGATGTTGGAAGCTGTACACTTTACATATTATGTTGGGAGCTGTACACTTTACATATAATGTTGGGAGCTGTACACTTTACATATGATGTTGGGAACTGTAGATTTTACATTGATGTTGGGAGCTGTAGACTTTACATATAATGTTGGGAACTGTAGACTTAACATATAATGTTGGGAGCTGTAGACTTTACATATGATGTTGGGAGCTGTAGACTTTATATATGATGTTAGCTGTAGATTTTACATATGATGTTGGGAGCTGTAGACTTTTTATATGATGTTGGGAGCTGTAGACTTAACATATAATGTTGGGAGCTGTAGATTTTACATATGATGTTGGGAGCTGTAGACTTTTTATATGATATTTGGAGCCCTAGAATTTACATATGATGTTGGGAGATGTAGAATTTACATTGATGTCAGGAGCTGTAGACTTTACATTGATGTCAGGAGCTGTAGACTTTACATATGATGTTGGGAGTTGTAGACTTAACATATGATGTTGGGAGCTGTAGACTTTACATATGATGTTGGAAGCTGTAGATTTTACATATGATGTTGGGAGCTGTACACTTTACATATGATGTTGGGAGCTGTAGACTTTACATATAATGTTGGGAACTGTAGACTTAACATATAATGTTGGGAGCTGTAGACTTTATATATGATGTTAGCTGTAGATTTTACATATGATGTTGGGAGCTGTAGACTTTACATATAATGTTGGGAGCTGTACACTTTACATATGATGTTGGGAACTGTAGATTTTACATTGATGTTGGGAGCTGTAGACTTTACATATAATGTTGGGAGCTGTAGACTTAACATATAATGTTGGGAGCTGTAGACTTTACATATGATGTTGGGAGCTGTAGACTTTATATATGATGTTAGCTGTAGATTTTACATATGATGTTGGGATCTGTAGACTTTACATATGATGTTGGGAGCTGTAGACTTTATATATGATGTTAGCTGTAGATTTTACATATGATGTTGGGAGCTGTAGACTTTACATATAATGTTGGGAGCTGTACACTTTACATATGATGTTGGGAACTGTAGACTTTATATATGATGTTAGCTGTAGATTTTACATATGATGTTGGGAGCTGTAGACTTTTTATATGATATTTGGAGCCCTAGAATTTACATATGATGTTGGGAGATGTAGAATTTACATTGATGCTGGGAGCTGTAGACTTTACATATAATATTGGGAGCTGTAGACTTTACATATGATATTGGGAGCTGTAGACTTTACATATGATGTTGGGAGCTGTAGATTTTACATTGATGTTGGGATCTGTAGACTTTACATGTAATGTTGGGAGCTGTAGACTTTACATATGATGTTGGTAGCTGTAGATTTTACATACAATGTTGGGAGCTGTATTCTCTGTTACATATGTGTTTTACCATCCTCACTTTTCTTTACCTTTTTCTCTGTTCTTTTTCATCCTTGCTCTGTTTACCAGCCTCACTGTTCTTTACCATCCTGGCTGTTCATTACCACCCCCTCACTGTTCTTTACCATCCTCAGTTCTTTACCACCCTCACTGTTCTTTACAATCCTCAGTTCTTTACCACCCTCACTGTAATTTACCATCCTCATTGTTCTTTACCATCCTCACTGTTCTTTACCATCCTCACTGTTCTTTACCATCCTCAGTTCTTTACCATCCTCAGTTTTTGTTTACCATCCTCATTGTTCTTTACCATCCTCACTGTTCTTCCTCACTGTTCTTTACCACCCTCAGTGTTCTTTACCATCCTCACTGTTCTTTACCAACCACACTGTTCTTTACTATCCTCACTATTCTTTACCATCCTCACTGTTCTTTACCATCCTCACTGTTCTTCCTTAACGTTTCTTTACCACCCTCAGTACTTTACCATCCTCATTGTTCTTTACCAACCACACTGTTCTTTACTATCCTCACTGTTCTTTACCATCCTCACTATTCTTTACCATCCTCACTATTCTTTACCATCCTCATTATTCTTTACCACCCTCACTGTTCTTTATCAATTACAATTCTTTGACCTACCACCCTCATTGTTCTTTATAACCCTCACTGTACTTTATCAAGTACTATTATTTGACCTACCATCCTCACTTTACCACCCTCACTTACCCTCACTGTTCTTTATTGTTCTTTACCAACCACACTGTTCTTTATCAAGTACTATCCTCCTACTATTCATTGTTCTTTACCACCCTCACTGTACTTTATCAATTACAATTCTTTGACCTACCATCCTCATTATTCTTTACCACCCTCACTGTACTTTATCAAGTACAATTCTTTGACCTACCATCCTCATTGTTCTTTACCACCCTCACTGTACTTTATCAAGTACAATTCTTTGACCTACCACCCTCACTGTACTTTATCAAGTACAATTCTTTGACCTACCACCCTCACTGTACTTTATCAAGTCACTGTACTTTATCAAGTACAATTCTTTGACCTACCACCCTCACTGTACTTTATCAAGTACAATTCTTTGACCTACCATCCTCATTGTTCTTTACCACCCTCACTGTACTTTATCAAGTACTATTATTTGACCTACCATCCTCATTGTTCTTTACCACCCTCACTGTACTTTATCAAGTACAATTCTTTGACCTACCATCCTCATTGTTCTTTACCACCCTCACTGTACTTTATCAAGTACAATTCTTTGACCTACCATCCTCATTGTTCTTTACCACCCTCACTGTACTCTATCAGTTACAATTCATTGACCGACCACCGTCACTGTACTTTATCAGTTACAATTTTTTGAGCCAGCTATAAAGAATTTACTACATTTATTGGATCAAGGAAGTAATTACATTTTACCCGTAAGTAACATGTTCCTCTGTGTGCAGTTAACTTAGCAGTTTTGCAGATTAGGGAACTCAGATAGAATAGTTAGGACACAGATAAACCTGATTTTCTTATTCTTCCTGATTGTAGACAAGTGATGTTATTTTTAGGTTGTTTGAGGTTGTAACATAATCTCATTCTGGTGTATAGATTGCTGTGGAGTACAGCATATTTGTTTACATGGGACAATTTTGAATTGTTAGGAGCGGTAAGCGATATCCTACTGGTTGTATTTGTTCAAAAATTGACCATATGACCACATCCCTAAATAAAATATCTACAAAAACCTAAATTGAATAACTTTCTTCAAAAGTATCTGAACAATCTTTAAAAAAAAACAGCAAATTTTGTTAATGAAAACCTAAAAAATGTTTTTAGAGTTCAGATACCATTTTTTATTTTTTTTTTTTTTCAGGTGGCTGTGATCAGAATTTGCGTCCTCCCAACCTGTTGCGCTGTTCCCCAACATGTAATCAGGATAATGCTTACTGTAATGACACGAACTACTGTGCTTGTGAAGAAGGGTATATTGCCTACTACAAGGGTGACACCTTGTTTGGATGTTTCATGGACAACCAGACGGTGGTAGGAGGTCAGTCCTCCCCAGATAGAGGAGGTCAGTTCAGTCTAAAAATAGCAACAATGACACGAATATGAATATATATAAGATGTATTGTTATTTTAGTTTTTGTTTCAAATATCTGTTTCCAATCTGTAAGCAAGAAAATTGTAGATGTCATTAGTAAATTAGAATGTATGATATTTGAACGTTTTTTCAAGTGCTGTAAGTACAGAAGAAACATGTATATGTTCTGATGTCATTGAAATGCGTTGTTTGTTTATAATATACCTGTGTTTAATGTTATTGTTGTTTTTATTTACCTGTGTGAGATGTTGTTTATCTCTGTCTTGTGTTTTTGTCCTGGTATTCTTGTTGTTGTGTAGGCTTTTTGTTATCTAATGTTGGTAATGAACAAAACTTTTAATTATTAGTAATTAATAGTTAATCAACGGATTTCAGATTCTGTTAGAATTGACGAGCTTTATCATAATCCATTAATATGTATAACTGTGTGGTAACATTGTATTACTGCTTTAACAGCCTCTGCTTATGTAGATAGAAACAGAACTGGAGAGCCTTTCTACCCAGTACAATCGATCCAATCTCTAACATTGCTCCTGTTTAGCTTTTGGGGGGAAAAAATAAATACATCATCTGTTCACTGTTTATTGAATTAAATGTGTGATCACAAGAAAAAAAATTATGATAAAGTAGGTTTTTCTTTTTAAGAATAAAAATTCCTATTGTATATAGAAAACAGGCGACGCTGAATTGCACTTTTAGCCAAGCAGAAAATCAGAGGATATCAAATTGGTCTATATTTGCAGGCTCACAAAACTACAAAATTGATTCCAATGGATTCAATTTGTCGATGATTACATGTAAATTTGTCCCCTCTGTTTGCTGCCACATGAATGATGGGGAAAATTTTAAGAAATTAAAAAAAACTTTCGAAAAAATATAGTCAGCTTCATTTCTGACCAACTGTCAAAGAAAGAAATAACAAGGCTCAAAGGTTTTGCTTTTACAAATAGTTTAATTATGGTTGATGTAATCAGATTGACAAATTATTAACTTGGTTGATTTCAGGTATTTTTAGCCACACACAATAGCAGTACTTCATGTTGTCTTTCCTTTCGTTTTGGTGTTTTCTCATTTCCTGTTGAGTCCTCTTGTTTAGCTCAGATTGTACAATATATATTGATAATGTGATACTTCAACATTGACATTATTGTACATGTATTTTCTATATTCATTTTTATAGTTTGATAAATATTGCAGTAATTTCTGAAGTTAAAAAGTTTTCTCTAATCTCTACATCTTTTAAAAGTGATTATCTTAATATGTTTGAAAATTTCATACAGCAGTCATTCATCTATAACAATTTTGATTGACAAACTGCTTTCATTGCCATACATTTCTGTAATAAAGACTTGTATTGAATACTGCACTTACCAGGTAAATGCTTAAAAAATATCATAAAAATGTTTTCTCCACTTGATTCGAAAGGAAATAAAAACAGATAAGTGTAAATATGTAAAAGGGAATAGATGTACAGATTTTATACATGTGTAAACATGTAGAGGGAATAGATATATCAATATGTATAAGGAATATATAGAGAGAGAATATACATGTATCAATATGTATAGGGAATATATATATAGAGAGAATATACATGTATCAATATGTATAGGGAATATATATAGAGAGAATATACATGTATCAGTATGTATAGGGAATATATATATAGAGAGAACATACATGTATCAATATGTATAGGGAATATATATAGAGAGAATATACATGTATCAATATGTATAGGGAATATATATATAGAGAGAACATACATGTATCAATATGTATAGGGAATATATATATAGAGAGAACATACATGTATCAATATGTATAGGGAATATATATATAGAGAGAATATACATGTATCAATATGTATAGGGAATATATATAGAGAGAATATACATGTATCAGTATGTATAGGGAATATATAGAGAGAGATATACATGTATCAACATGTATAGGGAATATATATATAGAGAGAGAATATACATGTATCAATATGTATAGGGAATATATATAGAGAGAGAATATACATGAGATAGGGAATATATATATAGAGAGAGAATATACATGTATCAATATGTATAGGGAATATATATATATAGAGAGAGAATATACATGTATCAACATGTATAGGGAATATATATATAGAGAGAGAATATACATGTATCAATATGTATAGGGAATATATATAGAGAGAGAATATACATGTATCAATATGTATAGGGAATATATATAGAGAAAATATACATGTATCAGTATGTATAAGGGATATATAGAGAGAGAATATACATGTATCAGTATGTATAGGGAATATATAGAGAGAGAATATACATGTATCAACATGTATAGGGAATATATATAGAGAGAGAATATACATGTATCAGTATATATAGGGAATATAAAGAGAGAGAATTTACATGTATCAATACGTATAGGGAATATATAGAGAGAGAATATACATGTATCAGTATGTATAGGGAATAGATATAGAGAGAGAATATACATGTATCAATATGTATAGGGAATATATATAGAGAGAGAATATAGTTGTATCAATATGTATAGGGAATATATATATAGAGAGAATATACATGTATCAATATGTATAGGGAATATATATATAGAGAGAATATACATGTATCAATATGTATAGGGAATATATATATAGAGAGAGAATATACATGTATCAATACGTATAGGGAATATATAGAGAGAGAATATACATGTATCAATATGTATAGGGAATATATATAGAGAGAATATACATGTATCAATACGTATAGGGAATATATATAGAGAGAATATACATGTATCAATATGTAAAGGGAATATATATATATAGAGAGAATATACATGTATCAGTATGTATAGGGAATATATAGAGAGAGAATATACATGTATCAATATGTATAGGGAATATATAGAGAGAAAGAATATAGTTGTTTCATGTATAGGGAATATATATATAGAGAGAATATAGTTGTATCAATATGTATAGGGAATATATAGACAGAGAATATACATGTATCAGTATGTATAGGGAATATATATAGAGAGAGAATATACATGTATCAATATGTATAGGGAATATATAGAGAGAATATACATGCATCAATATGTATAGGGAATATATATAGAGAGAATATACATGTATCAATATGTATAGGGAATATATAGAGAGAATATACATGCATCAATATGTATAGGGAATAGATATAGAGAGAGATATACATGTATCAATATGTATAGGGAATATATAGAGAGAGAATTTACATGTATCAATATGTATAGGGAATAGATATATAGAGAGAATATACATGTATTAGTATGTATAGGGAATAGATATATAGAGAGAATATACATGTATCAATATGTATAGGGAATATATAGAGAGAGAATATACATGTATCAATATGTATAGGGAATATATATATATAGAGAGAATATACATGTATCAATATGTATAGGGAATATATAGAGAGAGAATATACATGTATCAGTATGTATAAGGGATATATAGAGAGAGAATATACATGTATCAGTATGTATAGGGAATATATATATAGAGAGAATATACATGTATCAATATGTATAGGGAATATATATAGAGAGAATATAGAGAGATATAGAGAGAGAATACATGTATCAATATGTATAGGGAATAGATATATAGAGAGAATATACATGTATTAGTATGTATAGGGAATAGATATATAGAGAGAATATACATGTATCAATATGTATATATAGAGAGAGAATATATATCATATATAGAGAGAGAATATACATGTATCAGTATGTATAAGGGATATATAGAGAGAGATGTGTCATATACAATATATATAGAGAGAGAATATACATGTATCAATATGTATAGGAATATATATATATCAGTAGAGAGAGAGAATATACATGTATCAGTATGTATAGGGAATATATAGAGAGAATATACATGTATCAACATGTATAGGGAATATATATAGAGAGAGAATATACATGTATCAGATATATAGGGAATATAGAGAGAATATATATAGAATATATAGAGAGAGAATATACATGTATCAGTATGTATAGGGAATATATAGAGAGAGAATATACATGTATCAATATGTATAGGGAATATATAGAGAGAGAATATACATTATATCAACATGTATAGGGAATATATATATAGAGAGAATATACATGTATCAATATGTATAGGGAATATATATATAGAGAGAATATACATATCAATATGTATAGGGAATATATATATAGAGAGAATATACATGTATCAATATGTATAGGGAATATATATATAGAGAGAGAATATACATGTATCAATATGTATAGGGAATATATATAGAGAGAATATATATATAGATAGGGAATATATATAGAGAGAATATACATGTATCAATACGTATAGGGAATAGATATATAGAGAGAATATACATGTATCAATATGTATAGGGAATAGATATATAGAGAGAATATACATGTATCAATATGTATAGGGAATATATAGAGAGAATATACATGTATCAATATGTAAAGGGAATATATATATATAGAGAATATACATGTATCAGTATGTATAGGGAATATATAGAGAGAGAATATACATGTATCAATATGTATAGGGAATATATAGAGAGAAAGAATATAGTTGTTTCAACATGTATAGGGAATATATATATAGAGAGAATATAGTTGTATCAATATGTATAGGGAATATATATATAGAGAGAATATACATGATCAGAGAATATATATGTATCAGTATGTATAGGGAATATATATATAGAGAGAATATACATGTATCAGTATGTATAGGGAATAGATATATAGAGAGAATATACATGTATCAATATGTATAGGGAATATATAGAGAGAATATACATGTATCAATATGTATAGGGAATATATATAGAGAGAATATACATGTATCAGTATGTATAGGGAATATATAGAGAGAAAGAATATAGTTGTATCAACATGTATAGGGAATATATATATAGAGAGAATATAGTTGTATCAATATGTATATATAGAGAGAATATATATAGAGAGAGAATATACATGTATCAATATGTATAGGGAATATATAGAGAGAGAAATATATACATGTATCAATATGTATAGGGAATAGATATATAGAGAGAATATACATGTATCAATATGTATAGGGAATATATAGAGAGAGAATATACATGTATCAATATGTATAGGGAATATATAGAGAGAGAATATACATGTATCAGTATGTATAGGGAATATATATAGAGAGAATATACATGTATCAATATGTATAGGGAATATATATAGAGAGAATATACATGTATCAATATGTATGTATCAATATGTAGGGAATATATATAGAGAGAATATACCTGTATCAATATGTATAGGGAATAGATATAGAGAGAGAATATACATGTATCAATATGTATAGGGAATATATATAGAGAGAGAATATAGTTGTATCAATATGTATAGGGAATATATATATAGAGAGAATATACATGTATCAATATCTAAATGGGAAAATTGTGTCAGAAAATCATGTCTGAATGCAAACATTTCCATTGTAATTAAACATAGAGAAAACAGCTTAATTAACATATTTATTTAACCAATAGATATTATAAAATTAATTTACCATATAAGATGTAGATCTATCTTTTCTGATCTTTTCCTTGGTTATCTCCCTTGATACCAACTAGACTGTAGAACTCCTTAAGCAGTTGATTTAATTTCTCTTGAGCGTATAACTTCTCTTGGTAGTACAGTATTCTATTATAAATATTGAATATTTTAACTCAGTTGTTGATGGTGAAGAAGGTAAGAGAAACACAGATGTTTTATTTCTTTAGTTATATTTTCATACTCACAAAGCCACACTGACAGAAATATTTCAGAGTTTTACATAATCAACATTACTGTTACCCACTTCTATAGACTGCATGCCCTCTGGAATGTATGATATAACTAAAATATATTTTATATTGAACTCGTTTCTTTTCTAGTCTTTTCCAATATTTTGTACTTCTTTATTTATATTAGATAAATTTTCACTGCTCTTTATCAACTTTGCAATATTTCTGTTGTGTGGCATTATGTTTTTTTTAATATTTGAAACGAAGAGTTAAAAAATCCAACATCCATCTTTTCTTTTTAAATTTCTTTTGATTAACACAAATAGTATACTAATTCATATATAAGGAAGGATACTTCAGTACATACAAAAGTATTTCCAACTTAAAACCATATATGATGCTATTGCATTGGTAGCAATAGTCCTTTCGAATTAACTGATGAAACATTACAGCATGGGTGAAATTTGCATGAAAATCTGTTTTAAGAAATAACACTTTTTTTCTCTTGAAGAAAATCACAGTTATGTCACTTCACCTTGATAGGTGGTATCCAAATATCAGGATATTAATAATGTATTACAAATTTTTTAAAAGTGCAAAAACCATAATCTGTTTACTCTATCGTAACAAAAGCAATTCAGATGAAAGTATCATTACTTCACACTAGAGAAAAACCATCATCAACTTTCCATAAACTAAGAAAAATGTAAGGTTAATGTTGCAAAGTCTCCCTATGATTTTGGCATTTGGACTAAAATCACAAAAATCAAATAATCCAAAATTGAAATACTAGAATTATTATTTCAGTGTTGTGTGTAATTATGAAGGAGATAAGATATTAACCTATATGGACCATTGTCTGGGTTATTTACAGAATTTCTAGTGTTCTAATTCTTTATTTCATGTGAACTTTCTGACCAAATTAAATCCAAAATATGAAAAAAAAAACTGTAGTGCTGATGAAGTGTTAAGTCCAAAACAACTTGGTTGTAGACTACCTTGTTAAAATTCTTTTAACTCAACTCCAGTTAAAAGACTGTTAAATGTTATGTGAACCCTGCCAAAATCCTATGTAGACCCAGTTGAAATGCCTGTTTAAAAAATGTTAAACCCCTACAGGTAAAGTGCATCCAGTGTTTCGTATAAGTTTGTTTCCAGTATCCCTATTAACACATAATAAAACTTGTATTTTAATAAGTTTGTGGTGACGACAACTGTTCTAGTGTCTAAATCTCACATTTTAGGTGATGGTAGTGCTGGGGTGAATTCTTTGTGTTGAGGAGAGGCTATAGTGGCCATCTCACTGACTTAATATAGAAGTTTGTTTTGTTTTTAAAATAGTATAGTTTAGTACAGTACAAAATTCTGTTGTATCAAACATCAAAATCAGAAGCAAAGTTTGCCTTGTGGATAGAATTTATGCTGAACTTAATTCAGGGGATATATCTTGTCTACTAAACTAACTTGTGTGTATAAATCACTGCTAATTAACTGATTTATGGATATATATAACATCGCCAGAATGGACTTAAGGGTGTATATTATGAAATGTGGGTGCTGTTTAAACGATCTCTCAAACAGGATTTGGTTTTGAATTGACATATATTATGTTGATATATTGCAAGGATTATGAAAGTGACCTGACTGATGTGTGATGTTTGGTCAGGTTACAGTAAATCTATATGGCACTGTTCTGTGGCATCTATTGTCATTAGCCATTCAACTATTGTATGCGAAGTCTTCTACTGCACAATTCATGTCATTTCTCTGTGATCACACTTTGAAAGATTAATTATACTTTATTTTCTGCACATTTTTTCATTTAAGCATTTGTCTTAACAAAATGCTTCACTGTTTATTTTGAGCTTTAATGAACTAAAACACAGATTTTGTGCAAATGAAATATTATCATTTCAACTTCAAGCAACTGATTCAAAACATAAACATTCAAAAAGACAATTTGATTAATAATAAGCTTTGTTTCCTTCCTACAGAAGGACATCTAAATTTCTGGACATATGCTGTTATTGCTGTGGGAACCATATTTGTGATATTTGTCACAGTTGCACTTTACAACATGAGGTGAGTGTTCATTTTATCTATTTTTTTTCACACATTTTTTGCATTTCTACATTTAACTTACTGCGTAGTCTTTACATTAGTCTCACGTACGACTTCAGCTTTTTTCTTATACTTTTTTATTGAAAATTCTTATTTTTCATTCAGTTCTAAATATTTTATATATAAGTCAGGGTAAACATCTTTATTATCTCCTATGCTTCTGAATATTGTAATATTATCTTTTTCTTCTATATCTGTTTCAGTATATGAGATGGTTGTCTTCTCTAGCTGCTTTTAAGCATTATATGATTGTCTTCCATATCATCTTCTAAATATAAGATAATTATTTTCCCTACAAGCTTCTCCATATTATATTAGTATCTCCCATGCTGCTTTCAAACATGATATTATTTCCCTTCCCTTCTCCTGAACATAAGATTATTACCTCCCTTGTCTGCTGCAGTACATTAGATAATTATCTCCCTTGCTGCTTTTGAACATTAGAGCATACGCCATCTTTTGTGTGTCTGAACATAAGATAATTATCTCCCTTGACTGATTCTGTACACAAGATAATGCTCTCCATGCTACCTTCAATGTAAGATATTTGTCTTCCTTCTATGCATCAGAACACAAGATGATAACCTCCTTTACTTGTTTCTGAATTTAATTATCACATTCCTGTTTTTGAACATTAGATGATTATCTTTCATAATTTCACTTTTGACCCTTATTATCTCTCTTGCTTTTTTCTGAAATTTAATAAATATGGGCATTGTCTGTTTCTGGCCATTGGATGACCATCTTCAATGCCTGTTCTGAAACTTAAGAAAAATTGTTTCCCTGGTCTGTTTCTGAATAACTATCTGTATTTTATGCCACATTGATAAATTATCACCCATATACATTGGTTCTCAAAAATATAGCTGTATACAATAGCATTACCCTCCTTACATTGTCAGACACATTAGTTACCTCCTCTCTTCTATAGCTGCAAACATAGCATTATCTCCCTTATCAAATAATATGCATCAATTATCTTCCCTAACTGTACACAGCATCATTATCTCCCTTAAATAGTTATACTTTGTAGCATTATCTCCCTTGTCTCATACATATTAGTTATACACAGGAGGATGTTCTCTCTTCTCTGGTTATAGATATATATTAGTTATCTCCATTTTATAGCTTTTTACATAAGCATAATCTCCCCTGTGTGGTTATTCAGAAAAGTTATCTCCCTTTTATAACTGTTTACACTAGCATTATTCCCCTTGTCTGGTTATACACATCAGTTATTGCCTTCTCTAGCTACACACAGTAGCATTATCGCCCATATCTGGATATATACATTAGTCATCTCCCTTCTATAGACGTACACAGTATAACCTCCTTGTCTAGTTATACACATTAGTTATTTCCCTTCTATGGCTGTACACAGTAGCATTATCTCCTTTGTCTGGTTATGCAGATTAGTATCTCCCTTCTATAGCTCTACACAGTAGCATTATCTCCCTTGTCTGGTTATGCAGATTAGTATCTCCCTTCTATAGCTGTACACAGTAGCATCTCCATGAGAAGCTAAGGCATATTGCTATAAGGGACATTTTTTTTATATTTTTAGTAAGTGGGTATTAGGGATATATAGTTAATTTACTATTAATTATAATTCTTCATTAAAAATGAAATAATAACTGCTATAATATGTTTGATACAACTAGTACTAATTAATCATTATTATTTATACTAGTTAATAACTTATACTGTTAATTCTCTATAAGTAATTAGTTCTACAAATGTAATATAATGTATACAGTTAATTCCCCATTACTTCTACAATGGTAATATAATGTAAACAGTTAATCCCCCATTATTTCTTCTACCGTAGTATATTGTATACAATTAATCCCCCATTAGTCCTTCTACCGTAGTATATTGTATACAGTTAATCCCCCATTAGCTCTACTGCCGTAGTATAGTGTATACAATTAATCCCTCTTTTAATCCTTCTAAGGTTGTATATTGTTTACAGTTAATCTCCCATTAGTCCTGCTACCGTAGTACAGTGTATACAGTTAATCACCCATTAGTCCTGCTACCGTAGTATAGTGTATACAGTTAATCCTCCATTAGTCCTTCTACTGTAGTTTATTGTATACAGTTAATCCCCCATTAGTCCTTCTACCATACTATATTTTATGCAATTAATCCCCATTAGTCCTTCTACCGTAGTATAGTGTATACAGTTAATCCCCCATTAGTCCTGCTACCGTAGTATAGTGTATACAGTTAATCCCCCATTAGTCCTACTGTAGTATATTGTATACAGTTAATCCCCATTAGTCCTGATTCTGTAGTATAGTGTATACAGTTAATCCCCCAGTAGTCCTTCTACCGTAGTATATTGTATACAGTTAATCTCCCAATAGTCCTTCTATCATAGTATATTGTATACAGTTAATCCCCCATAAGATCTCGTACTGTTATATAGCATACACAGTTCATTCACCATTAGTTCTGGTACTCTGATACATTATGCTCAGTTAATTTCCTATTTGATCTTGTGCTGCAAACAGGCCTATTTTATAGAGATTTTCAAAGGGATATTTTCCCTGAGTAATTGAATAAATATCTAACATTACTCCATAAAAGAAACCAAACAAGTTATTTTATGGAAGATAGCAGATTTATGGCAGAGATTTATTTGAATAAGGGTACACTGCACTATCCAATACTTCGTAATATTTCCATCCATGTCTTCTTATATAAAAAACAACACAACTTTTCCTAGAGGTTTTCTAATTTCACTTTAGAACCATTCCCATCTTACAGTATGATATGGTAAGCCTTTGGGTTCTAAATCGTAGTTTAGAACACATGTTTTCCTGTTACGTATTGAAAATATTTAAAAATGAGTTTTCAGTTTTAAATTGATATACTTTACCTTTTTCTATGGTGTACTGTTAGGCGTCTCTTAGTTATTTATGCACAGCTTCTCTCCGATGACTTTTTACAGTTGCAGATGTACAGACAATATGTTTTGGCTGTTAACTAGGTTAAAGGAAACAAGTGTTGATAGTAGATATACTTGATAGTTACTACGAGATATTTGATTTTAATGTCCTTCCCACTCATGACATGTGAAAAGACATAAATCACATAAGGTCAAGAACATTGTCATATATAGTTTGCAGTAGCATTGCAGTAGCTTTTAGTGTGCTTCCATACTTTTTATGCACTTCCATACATTATACCTTTTTATCATATGTATGTTTTTTTTATTGAATGTGTTTTCGTATTCAGTATATTGTAGTTAGGAGTAAATCTTACAATCTACTTTAGTTATTATAATTTTGTTGTACCATTTTATTCAGTTTAGGCAGTATATGTGCTGTATACATCAGTGACCCTACCTTCAAGTATACCTAGATTCGACCCCTTATATATAACCAGTATTTATGATAGTTTTGTAATATATATATACATATATATGTATCCGTTTTTAGAGCCTATTATGCTGCTTTTGCTTGGATCATTTCTCTTTCAAATGTAATGTTATAAATAGTATGACACAAACCTGTTTCCTACAAGGGTTTAATTAACCCATATGAACTATGAGCTGAGATGTAATAAAATACATCTACGTTATTTATGCATATAATTTGCATGTCGGGAAAATTATAATCGGTCTGGCTTATGGAGAATCACATCTGGTTTATATTGACCTTGTAATCAAGATATCATCTTCTGCTCATCCAATGGTCAGATGTTTGTTTAGACAATTACGACACCGAAAATTTCTTTACCTCCAGAAAATTTGCACATAATAACGAATGTCACATACTTGTTTTATTGACAAAGAAGAATCAGGTGAGGTACTTGGCTGTCCTAGATGTATACAGTACACAATTCTGCTTTATTTTTGTGTTTTTAATGTTTGTGGACTATTTCTCTCTGCTTCTTTCTGTACAGTGATTTCTTGCACTACGGTCCCCGCCCCAGGAATCAAGGTAGTCTAGATGAGCTAGACAGTGCCAGTAATACCGGCTCAGCTACCCGAAATAATCCAGATGGGCTGACAACTCCCGATAACTGCAGTGTCTGTAAATCAATACCTACTCCAGTAGATACACTGCCGAACGATCGAATGATGGAGACAAAGTGCAACATGAGTGTAGGTTCATGTGTTCAGGCGATAGATAACCACGGGGAATGTAGTAGCCTGTCGCAAATACTGACTCACGTTTGTCCCTGCACTTCTGCTACCTCCAACACCCCTCCTGACAAAGATTTGCATGATTGTAACAATGAGACCGAAGTCAATGCGCAGTTAGTCATTAATGAGCATATTGGCATGTCCACAGCTTATAACTGCATGCAAACCTCCCCTTGTGAAATGTCATCTGCCTCCAGCTTGTCACCTCAATCCGTCCATCAATTTCCCACAAGGTCAGACTCGGAACAATCAGAAGACACACCTGGCTTTATCACAAAATTTCAAAGATACCCCCATCGTGGAAGAACCAATTCTGATTCTGCATTGTCCGCATCTATGACAACTGCTTCGGTAACAGGAACGTCAGTATCATCGTATCCAGTGGGCAAAACCACAGAAAATAATGTGGCATTAGCAAACGTTCCTGATACTGTAGTTTCATTGCCTTCAACAGAAGACCTTACAAAGCCCTTGACTTCATCGTCGCTCAAGTCTTTGTCAGACAATAGTGAATTTCCACCTAACAATATCAATACAGAAAGTTTGAACGTCCTGGTTGAAGATTTTACAAAAAAGATAGATTCGCTGTCTAGAGATGAGAGAACTGATGGTATGCGTTTATATTCCATCCCAGACAGAGAACAAGGTCGCAGCTTTGACAAAAGCACACCTGAATCTACATCTCAATCTGACGTGTCCGACACAGAAAATGACCCCCTTTTATCAGATATGTCCCCAGAGCAACCAAATCAACTGTATCCTTCTCTAGAGCCGGAGGCTGTCCCTCTGCTAAGTAATGACAACAATAACAATGCTGACAAATATGATATACCACGTGCTGAATGTAGCAGTAACTATAGCAACAAGAGTTCATTTGATTATTCAACAAACGACACCGAATCCGACAGTGGAAGTGATCGACTGTTAAAATCACGTGATCGTGGTGCGCCAAGACGGCTAACAACAATTTGGAACGGTGGTTCACGAAAGAAACCTGGTGAAGCTTTGCCGCCATACCAAAATCAACCGAAAAGTGAAATTGAATCTCCAGAAGTGGAGGTTGTTCGTCCAGGTCGGCCCAAATTGACGCGCCAAGCAAAACTACAAAATCCACTAGAGGTCGCTCAATTTGACTCGGGTGTTATTGAAGATACGTGCTCGGCTTCAAGTGCTAACCCAAGCATAAGAGAGGATTCTTCTCCTGTGCTTAGAGAGAAGCAGAGGAAGCCAAGAAAGTTGCACAAATTACAGAAAAGGAACTCTGATACTCGTATCAGCAGCAGGGGTAGTTCATCGCCATCCTCACATAGGTCTAGATCTTTGCCACGAACAATGACAGACAGTAACGCCAGCAAAGATGGTAGTAAAACCACCAGTTCCAATGACATATCCGATGTTCCTGGAAAGGAACGCACATGGAAGGAGACTATTTTATAATTAATCCGCTCTTTCCAAAACTTTTCTTACCACTCTCATAACCTATAACCATGGTAAAGTGGACTATTGTGAACCACAGCGATAAAGAACATGTATATGAATTTTAGCGATATATATATTTGATATTGCTATATTTAATATGAGTGACTTTTTTTTATGAATTTTATGATGGTCTCCAGTCATGGTTGTTGGAATGAGAGAGTTTGCTAGATCCATACTAAGTATCTATTTTCAAAGTTTAGATGTTTGAATGTGTTTGTTTATGTTTATTTCCCTTTTGTTTGTTTTTGATGTTGTCTGTGTGGAATGGATTATTTGTCCTTTTTAAATGTACATGCTTTTTTTGGAAGCAGAACTAATAATATGACAAGTGAATATCGGCTCTTGAAGAATCTCATTTCTGGCGAAAATCTCAAAAATAAGATGAATTCCGTTTTATAATTTCCACCTACAAAAATAGAATGCTTAGATGATAAGTATGTATGTATATCTTATTGTTATCAAAAGATAGACATGTTATTGAATATCAACTTTTTTTCTGAAATGAAGCTATTTTTAAGTTAATCAATTAGTTTGGATTAACAAAACGAAGATGGTTAAGGCATAAGCTTATGTAGTTCTGGCTGAATCTGATACTAGTGAATTGTGGTCATAATTTGTTTGCTCAACTTCTGTAACTCTGAGTCATGTATACTTGTCAGTGACGACCGGTTTGTTTTCATATCATACTTAAATCTAGAAATTTAATTAACTGCTCAATGTTATCATTTATTATTGTATTCATGTTTTTGACTGGAAAATTTGAAAAAAATACCCAATAGGTAATATTTGTAGACGCGGATATTCTATATCATATATTCTTGGTTTCAAACTAGTTAATATAACTGTCACAGCTTTCATATTTATATTATTTTCATCCAAAAAGAAATAATATCATTTTTTTTAAATGTTTCAATATTGAACTGTTTGAAAAGGCATCTAAAACGAAATTGTAAGTGGAACTTTATTGACGAAATAGAAAGTGTTAATATTGTTTTCAAAATCATTTGAAATATAATCGTTATGAAGGACATGAATGAAAAGCTTTTTTTTAAGTATAATACAGGTGTATATACAGTAGTCCGTTAGTCCACTCCACAGGAGTTTCCTATTAATTAAGCTCTGGCAGTACTAGGTAATTCCGATAAATGTAACATATGTCTTCAGGTAATGAATGACGTGGGGAACAGTGTTTTGGATATACAAAAGTCAAACAAAATTAGAGATTTCCTTATCTCACTAGGAAAAACCACAATGAATTACTTGATAGGAAAGCATTTCCAATTATGTTAATTGTCCTAGAAACATCCTTCAGACTCTTCAGAAATAAATACTTTCACTAATTTTATATAAAAAAAAAAGGTTAGGATTTTCTTGCATGATTCAATCCCAAGCATGCTAAATAATGCTTTGTTTGCCTGCTTCTTGGTTTTTGTAAGCAGAAACATGTATAATTTACAGGAATTTACTGCTTGTCTAAATCATAGTTGTGTTGCATTTCTGTGATTAACACAAACATTTTTCTTGATACTGATTAATTATTGCTGTTTTGGGTAATTTTCCATACCATATATAGACAGGACAGGTACTTTGATGTTGCAGTTTTGTACATGCAATTAACCTTTCGTTTGTGTATAATTAAGAGGTGTGGTCAGTACCATTCTCATGTCGTAATTCAAGTTAAGCGCCTTGTATACTTCTATTGTTGCGTTTCTGTCATTAATCGGTCTTGTTACCAATTCAACATTAGCATTGTTCTTGAATTATTTCGGAAGGACATTTCAAATACATATGTGTCCTGATTTGTTTTGAAACCATGCAAGACATCATTCATATCAACAACGAAGGGAAATATTTTGACATACATATATTGATATAGGTATACATCATGTCAGAGAGATAATGATAAGCGTCTTACCTACATATCGTATATTTAAGTGTTATCTTTTCAACATCTCACTTTCTTTGTAAAGACATTAGTATGCCATTATACACATCCTACTGGTTATATGCAGTCATGATTTAAATACCGCTTTAAAACACATTACCTCATGGTAAACTCCATGATGTGATAATCGCTTCAACGATTCCTCTTGTCATATGCATTATGTTTGTAGATGAAATGTAGATAGGTATTAATTTTAGATATATTTTTGCAAATCAAATTAAATTTACAATGATGAAAAACACATTGACAGTGTGTGTAAACCTCACTTCGTATTGTGTGTAAATAGCCATTTGTAAAATCATGTTTATTCGATGCTGTGAAGTACGTGATGGCATTTTATCCATTACATTTTAGTTTCTAGATGTAGATCATATGATTTGTAATTGTCAGTATTACTGGGCGTCAACAGAATATTGTCGAGCGATTAAGGAACATTTATTGGACAAGAAATGGCCGGTACATTTCTGTTGACTTTAACAGTGTAAACTGTGAGGAGATAAAACCTGTGTGCTTTGTCAGGCGAATGTTTTCGAACTGTAATGAGCACCATTCGTTTCTAAATAAATGAGATTGTTTCTCTTATCATGTTATCTTTGTTGTAAGACGTCTGTGATGTTGTTTTACCTATATGATGTAGTAAAATGACATAATTTAACAAATGAAAATATTATACATCAAAATTCTAAGCGCCTTCGTAACGTATTCCATACCATGGACTTTAAGCATGAACTTTGTCTTGTGAATCAATGTTTTTTATTGATTTAGATAAAAAATAAATTGTCAATTACCTCTTCCGCTGAACTCAGACATTTATCACTAACTTTCATGATAATTGTGTTTACCGAAGGGAACCTTTATGCAGCGAAAAGATTACTTACCTTTTGCATATGACGCTGTCTACTTGAAACAGTCAGACTAAGCGAGTCCGTGACAAAATGTTCTTACAGTCACTGGCTAATATCACTGGAACCAAACGTACCTTTTCTTTTTCTTTTTTATCTTAAGTTGATGAATTTATCATGTAGCAAATCTGTAAATTTAACGAAGAGCTTATAAAATAATTAAATTTCACATTCATATTCAACGGTGATATACCTTTTTTTCTAAATATTAACGGAATTAAACATGTCGTACATGAAAGCAGTGGCAAATCAAGATATTCTACCGTGTATCGATATCAACTCTTATACATATATCTGTAAAATTAAGTTAGAAATATCAGCATGCAATTAAATGCTTTCAAAATCACAATTTCTATGATAGTTAAACATGCGAACATTTTAAAAGAAGACTTTTTAGAAAGGCAGGTTATTAAAAACAAATGACTGAGATCATCAATTTTTATGTTAGTTTCATTTTGTTGTCACTGCCATAGCTACCACGATAGTCACTAATATGGAAGTGACCTATAATTGACCATGATGAATGAAATGAACATCGAAGCATTGGGCGCCGAATCTTTTACTCTTTTAATTTTCATTTGTAAAGCTAATTAAGGTTTCGGTAACGTGTCAATGTTAGCTTCTTTGTTGCT